AACAAACAAGGAAGATAATGCAACATTTGGACATAATAGTCAATGAGAAACACTTTTCTTGTTCACATCCATATCACTCCCTGATTTAAAGTAGAGTTTCGAGAGTAAGTTATGAAAAACATATGATATCTTGTTATATTTTACCAAAAAAAAAATTTGTGATGTATTTGGTCTCAAGAATTTTAGATAACAATACATGTTATTTGTCATGTTTAGATCTTCAGATTTCCCTTTGAAACATCATATGCAAAAAATTCAACATTTCATAGCAATCTCCACCCTTTTCATATAACATCGAAGTTCCATCGAAAAGCCCTTCAACTACTGACAAGAAGAAGCAAACTTGAGCTAAAAATACAAAAAAATTGAAACTATTGGTTCTCCAAACATTTAAGGAGTGTTTTCATTCAATCAAAAAAACTAAGTGCTTCAAATCTGTATTGTTTGAGCTAATACCGTCATCATATCTACCGAAAAAAAAAAGAAAAAAGAAAAAAAGAAAAAAAGAAACCCACATTCACCTGCAATATTATCTTATAATCATTCAAACAATGCCCACAAAATTACAGACTCAAGATAATTATAAAGTGACCCATAAAAGGACGACAACATTATTCTCTTCAAAATCAGTATACAAACCCAGAACTCAACATCTAGAACCTAAACAGGCGCTTGCAAGCTCTAAACAACTTCCCTCTCTTCTTGATCTTTATGGGCTCCTCCTCATGGATCACCTCCCCATGGCCATGATCTCCATCCTCATCATGGATTCTCCAATACCCATCTCCAACGGAGGAGGACTTCCTCATTGAGAAAGCTCTCCTCGCAACACCCTGAAGTGTTGAGGCATTGCTGCTCCCCTTGAATCTTTGGGAGCTAGAGGAGCAGTTCCTGCTCAACACAACTCCGAACCTCTCCCCCTGTTTTTCTTGTTGTTCCTCTTCCTCTTCAAGGGGCTTTGGAGGAGGAGGAGGAGGAGGAGGGGGATATGGGTCTTCTTGAGATGGGGAGAAGTTGAGGTTTGAGAAGTCCATGGATTTTGATTTGTGAGATTTGTAGTTGGAGTTTACTCTCATCTTTGAGTACCCGTTCATTTTCTTGGAATGGAGAGAGAGAGAGAGAGAGAGAGACAGAGAGTGTGGAGATCTAGGCTCCTTTGTGGAAAATGAGGTAAGGTACAAACATGAGAGAGAGAGAGAGGACAGAGAACCCGGGGGGGGGGGGGGGGGGTCACGAATTCAATGCTAATGGCATTCATTGCACCTGAGACGTGAGTGAAGAGTATGGCCTCGGAGGGAGGGTAGAGGGCCCTCTATGTAAAATTTTACAAGCAGATAAGATGAAAATCATAAAGAAATGGTGATGTACTTATAGTTGAACATTGATGTCTATATCATTCTCAACTATCTGTAATGTCTATATCGATAGACATTCTAAATGGATATACAGCTATGTGTATTAAAAGAATAATTTTTCAAAACATACCGATTTAGCTTTTTATTTTTTAAAATCGACATTTTTTTATTTATCAAAATCGACCCGGTTTTGTGATTAGCAAGTTAATCACTATCCTAAATAGTCGGCGTTGCTAACCCCGACTATTTAGGATAGTGTTAAATCCTAATTAAAGGCCTTAAACCCTAAAAATTAATGTCTTAATTAGTCGGGGTTGGCAACCCCGACTATTTAGGATAGTGATTAACCTGCTAATCACAAAACCGGGTCGATTTTGATAAATAAATAAAAAAACTGTCGATTTTGAAAAATAAAAAACGAAATCGGCCTATTTTGAAAAATTGTTCGTATTAAAATTCATGTTCATATTTCTAAAGAAGACTCTTTATACTAATTTTTTCCAAAGAGATGGAAGATGCAGATTATGTTTGGTATGTTTGGTATTTAGTTGTTCTAGTATTTTGGGTGAATAATACATCATGTATGTATTCTAAAGCATTTACAACTATGAGTATCAAAATTCATGTTTATATTTCAATAGAAGACTCTTTATACTAATATTTTCTGAAGAGATGGAAGATGCACATTATGTTTAGTATGTTTGGTGTTTAGTTGTTCTGGTATTTTGGGTGAGTAATACATCAAGTTTTTGTCATTGTTGAATTAATAGATTTCCGGACTAATGTATTCATTGAGGGTAGATGTTTTTATTAATATATCATTAATGTAATAAATTGAATTGTCTATCGAGTCTTATGATATAACTCATTTACCTTATCTCCACTGATCGAAAAAAGCTACCAGAGGAGGTCAGTAGATGGGAAATTGATGAGCAGATGATGCGTTAGACTAGCAGAGAGTGTGGTTGATGAAGAAGAAAAGCTGTTAGACATGGGATAGACTAAGGACATGTGGGTAGATTTCCCTTTTATAACTTTTTATTTGGAGTTCGAATCTAGATCCAGCAAGGAAAATCTGGATCCATGACTCTTCATGATAATAGATAAATTTTGAATATTGTTTAGGGGGATGGTTATTTTGAGTTTTTTGATATCTCCTATGTCCAGTCAACAAAACTTAGATAATACAAGAGTTGTGAACTATCAGAACAAAGATGGACTTTTATAAATTTTATATGTTAATTTGCAAAATGCTTAATTGCACTCAAAATACCTCATAAATTCCCTATGTTGCATTCATATACCCTCACTTGTGAATGATCATAATTATTGTTGATGTCTTGAGACCCAGCAGTGAGATTAGTAAATAATCTCGAGTTAGTTATAGGGCTTGGGGTCGAAACGGACAATGTGGGTACCCTGATCTCCTTAGAGCAAGTGCAGCAAGCTCCCAGTTGGGAGTCCTAGTCAGCAAGCTCTCAAGAGCTCTCAAGCATTTTAGAATAAAAAATTAACAAATTAAGCCTTGGGAGTAGGGGTGCATTCGGTCCGGATACGGCTCGGATATGATGCTTACCATATCCATATCCGCTTACCCATCTCGGATACGGATACGGATACGGATATACCTCGGTAAGAAAAACTTATAACCATATCCGCTAAAATCGGATACGATTACGGATATACATGCGGATATATAAGCGGATATGCATGCGGATACAAAACAGATATGAGAAAACTAGATAGTATTGAGAAAAACATAGTTCATGTGATACAAAAAAGTTCGTTAATATGTCCATTATAACTAAATAGTTAAGATTAGACATCTTGATCATCAAAATTAAGCACAAATCCATAATCTAAGAATCGAAACTATCGTAAGAGTATGACTAATATGTATTCGGATATTTCGGATACGGATACGGATATTTCACTACAAAACCATATCCATAACCATATCCTATCGGTTATAGATTTGAGTAACCATATTCGTATCCTAACGGATACGGTTACAGATATTTTATCGGATACGGATACGGTTTAGCACCCCTACTTGGGAGGCACTCCTTCTTTTATAGAGCTCCAACAAGCTCCTAGTTAGGAGCTCCAACAATATCAAAAAACCCCTCTTCTATTTTAATATTTTACCCATTACTTTTAATTATATTTAAACCTCTTGTATTTTATTTCTAACCGTTGGATACGGCCTTCGAGGGAGCGCACACGGTCTTCGAGGCAACTCACGGTCTTCGAGGGAGCGCACACGGTCTTCGAGGTAACCCGCGGTCTTCGAGGTTGGACACGAAGTTCGAGGTATCGCAAACTTTGACCGTCAACCGACTGATTCCTATAAAATACAACGGCTTCTCTCCTCAACCCATCATCTCCCAAAATAAAATGTCTAGCTCATCTAGCTCTAGCAATGATGAAATGATGAAGACGCTCTTTCGTATGGGAGCTGTTGTCGTTGAGGAAGAAGAACAAGAGAAATGTTCAACTTCAGTTCAACACAAACGACGGAGGAAGAAGAACAAGAGAAATGTTCAACTTCAGTTCAACACAAACGACGTATCGTGCTCAATCGAAACCGACTGGAAGGTCACAATCGGTTGTTCCAAGATTATTTTGCTGACGCACCAACCTATCCTCTTTATTATTTTCGTCAAAGGTTCAGAATGGCGTGTTCGTTATTCCTTCGAATCACGACGCAGTCATCGAACATGACAAGTACTTCGTCCAAAAGAGGAATGGTGCTGGACAGTTAGGACTATCTAGTCTTCAAAAGATTACTGCAGCTATGCGGATGCTCGCGTATGGAGCATCCGCTGACTCTGTTGACGACTACGTTCGGATCGGTAAAAGTACGTCGCTTGAGAGCGTGAAGAGGTACGTTCGATCGATTATCAACATCTTTGGAGTGGAATACCTTCGTTCACCGACTAATGAAGACGTTGCATGCCTGCTCGAGGAAGGCTCACAACGAGGTTTTCCTGGTATGCTTGGGAGCATTGACTGCATGCACTGGACATGGAAGAACTATCCAACTGCCTGGCAAAGTATGCATACTGGACATTTTCATGAACCTACAATTATTTTAGAGGCCGTAGCTAGCAAAGATCTTTGGATATGGCATGTCTTCTTTGGACTGCCAGGGTCTCACAATGACCTTAATGTTCTACATCGTTCACCGGTTTTCGTACAACTTGCGAAGGGAAGAGCTTCACCATACAACTATACTATCAATGGCCACGAGTATAATATGGGATACTATCTCACCGACGGGATTTACCCAGAGTGGTCCACATTAGTGAAGACTATTCCAGCACCTCGAGGAAACAAGCATAAGTACTTTGCTTAACAACAAGAAAGCACAAGAAAAGATGTTGAGCGAGCTTTTGGCGTGTTGCAAGCTCGATTTGTGATTGTTCGTGGACCAGGACGTTTCTAGCAACCTTGTGTGCTAAAAGATATCATGACAGCTTGTATCATAATGCATAACATGATCGTTGAAGATGAACGTGATTGTCAATTGGACAACAACTTCGACTTTACTGATTCGGTATTAGTCCCTCTAACCCAGTTCATCCAAAATCATCATCGGATCAGGAACACGCAAACACACAAATCACTAAAAAATGATTTGATCGAGCATCTGTGGCAGCTCAAGGGATCCATCGCCGAGGATTAAGTTTCTTTATGTCTTATGCAATTTTAGAAAAGGAGTTCAAGTTGTTGTACTATGCCAATTTCATTTTCAATAAAGTTGTTTTCATTCAATGCCAAATTTTTCAACTTCAAGTACAATCATAAATCTAATACAATATAATATTTGATAATTAGGAAGAACTAATGAGGATGCGATGCGAGTACAATATATGATAATTAGGAAGAACCCTTGGACATCCACCTCTCCAATATCTCTGCTTGACGCATTTCAAAGCATTGTCGTTGAACTGAATTGAGTGTTGAGAGATCCATATTCATGATATCATCATCTTGTTTCTTCTGTTTTAGCTCCATTTTTCTTTGTTGGTTTGCTTCATCCACGCGAAAGCCTCTCCCATGATGGACTTAGCGGATTCACCTCTTTCCACATTTTGTTTCCTCTTGAGCTTTACCGCTTTCCTCCCTTCAGGCCTTGCTATAACATCATCCGAGTCAGTGTTCAACTCGATGGGGGTTGCTGGCATGGAATTGTTTGGTGAGGAATCAGAGTTTGTGGTTCTTCTCGGCTGTGATCGAATCTTATTGTAAGTTTCCATTTGTTGGATCCACTTTTGGTGATGACACAACTCAACCCAGCAATGGTCAAACACGAATGGCTTACCATAAAGGGATTGGTATAATTCATTTACTTCTGCATATATTCTACACAAGAGTTAAATTTAGAATAATCAAACATATAAGTTAAATATTTACATAAAAAATATAAGTTAAATATTTACCTAGTCAATAATTCCCGTACCAGATCTTTGTCTTCCTTCAATCTGAGCAACGCACCCGTAGAACTTGTTGACCGACAGTTGAATCGTTGACTAACGGTGCATCATTTGGTTTGGTGTGCGACTCGTTGGATCGGTGGAGTATTGGATAAAGTAGTCGTTAGCTCTATGCCAGAACTTATCTTTGTGTTGCCCCGTGCCTTGGATGGAGTCTTGGCTCGTGTTTAGCCAAGCAGACACAAGAAGCTTATCCTCGTGGACAGTCTAATTTTCGGACCGCGTGTAAGCCTTCTTCTTCTTTGTGGTCGGTGTTTCTTGGGATGACACTTGTTGTGTAGCGGATTGCGATAACTCGATGGGATGACCTTCTTCTACGACTCTTGTATAGAACGGCGAGTATAAGGTCGATCCTTCACCGGTAAGGAGTTGTGAATAGTAGTTGTTTTGGGAGGGATCCATTTGATTTGTAATTTGATAGGAAAATATATAGTTTTTTATGAGAAAGTTGTGTGGATTGTGAATTATGAATTTATAGAGGTTTTTTTACTGTTCAACAGCAAGAAAATGGAGCCCACAAATGTCATTTTCATAACTTAACGGTAAGAATTTTTTTCACTCAACGGTTCATTTTTTACCCTCAACGGTTCATTTTTTCACTCAGTCTTATTTATTACACTCAACGGTTCATTTTTTCACTCAACTATCATTTTCATTGTGAATAAATTCCTCTCAACAACGCCAAATCCCTAATTAAAAAAACTTCATCCTCTCCCTTCGACAGACAACTCCACCCCCAAATCCTTTCCTTCGACCGAACCCAACCCCAAATCATCTCCGACCCGACGCAACCCCACCCCAAATCCACTTCGCCACCACCATCTCCGACCCGACCCGAACGCCGCCATCATCTCCGGCATCGGCATCGTCACCATCATCGCCGGCACCCCAGTCGGAGGCCTCTTCACCGCCAGAATCATCCCTGCGCTCCACAAACTGGTAAGGGATAGTTTTGAGGGGGGGGTTTGTAAATTTTTGGTAGTTAGGAGCTCCCAAGCTCTCAATGTCCACGTCAGCCACATAGGCCTTGAGAGGGGGCGCAAGGAGCTCCTTGGGAGCGTGCTGGAGGGCTTGCAAACTTGACTTTCGCCACATAGGCCTTGAGAGGGGGCGCAAGGAGCTTGCTTCCCTTGCTCTTAGGCAATTGATCCCCTATTTTAAGATAAGAGAGCTACAGGATGAACATGATGGAGGGTCGGAGTTGCGTTCTCCTGTAATTCATCTGATGATCAAGTTAGTATAGAGCTTAGGTAGTAGAACTAATAAACTGAATAAGTTCTGAGATGATGAAATTAGTTAGCAATAAAGGGAATATCTGTGCCCCAAGGGGGCCTGAAGGTCTCTCCGATCAGTGGGCAATGGGCCCATATATATACTTAGTTGAGAGGGGTAGAAGTGTAACTCTGGACGAATCCAGACAGATAGTTTAATCAGTAGATAACTTAACAGATGTCGATTGTCTATGTGATAAGTCACCATTGATCTGATGTGATGGTGACTGAAGAGGTATAAGGGGAGATGAGTCATATAGACTCGTGGCACTAGCAATGATGATGATGGATAGTTGCTGGTGTGGAATTCGAAGACAAACTACCTTTCGATCGAGCTCTGTGAGTGGGATGACAAATACCATCTTTTTTATCACCTTGCAAGTTGTCGACATGGCTCTGAGTGAATAAGGGTGGTTGACTCAAGTGATGAGGTTGATTGAGAGCTTTCCTCGACTCAGCCTAACTTGGGAAGAGAAGAATGCCCCTGCTACTTGAGTCGCCTCTGGCTAGGGTGAGTCGATCTGATAATTAGTGATAATATGGGACATGTGTCGACTCCAAGAAGAGGATTAACAATGTCTAATTATTGACATAACATTGGCCCATTTCAATCGAACTCAGTGTAGCCAAGTTCAAGTGAAATAGGACTATAGTTAGCTGGGTCTCAAGATGCATTTATGAGGGGTTGTCGAAGAGTCTCTTCAGATGTGATGTTGCTAACGTCATAGAAGATCTTGAGCTGCCAACGCCTTGAATCTCGTGTGGGGATTGGGGGAAAATTAAGATGAGGGGTGTTGCAATTCTGGAGTGGTTGTCTTGTATTCTGAGAATGATCTTGGCCATTGGTTGGAAGATGAGTCGACGATTATGATCTTTCCACCTATCGGCCCTTCTGCCTATAAGTATGGCGGCTCTGATGTGAGAAATCATTGCTATTCACAAAATCTCTTGAACTCTTCTACTGTTAAAGAACTCCAATTCTTTGATATTTTCTCCAGCGAACTTTTAGATCAGATGGGATTCATCTTCCATGGTTCGGAATGAGGTTCGGATAAATCAACTACATAAATTCCATTCTAAAGTGTCAATATTGCTATTGGAGAGTCTGTACGGTACGACATGTCTAGGGTGTTTGCCCTTACGATGCCGGCATGTACACAGGTGGTGTACTATCACGGCGATAGCATCACTCCGGTGTATCTCAAACATCTAGAGTATGGGTTGCGCCTACCGCTATATTTTTTCCTTTGCCGTGTCTTCGAGACCGTTGTAACGGTAGTGTTTTCACACATGGCTACGGTCCAAGGTGAACCCAAAAATATCAAACCTATCATGCACCTAACATTGTGCATAAACATGTTTCACTATCACAATTGCTATCACTCTAGCAGATATCAAAGACAAGTAATGAGGGTACAAGCATATATAACAAAAAATGAGAATAAAAAAACACAATGAAGAGAAGAAATATCCAACAATTTCTGTAATTATGTTCCAACAAAAGAAAAGAATGTACATTTGATAACTGAGATAAAAAAATAATGAATCTCTAACACATAAGAGTCAACTGAATAGTACATAGGCACTCAGCCTCCAAAATGAAACACATCTAAAAGAGTTAAAACAAAATGTAATAGACTGCTGTGGAGCATTAACTAACTATCTATAAATGATGAAAATTTATGTTGTGTCCCTATCAACCTGCGGCTCTCCAAACCCCTGACTCACTACATGAAAAAGATGAAAATAACGAGGGTCAAAGCGCTAGCGAGAACATCTCTACCGCACCCAGGAGAAAGGGTTTAGGTGTATAAAATACTAATATATATATATATAATATATAGGTCATATACCCTGAACTAAGAGGAGTTAAGATTTAGAAATCCACAACAAGAGATGAGTACATTGAGCGAAATAATCCAAACAAGGAAACCCTCATATATATACCATGTATATCAAATTGTGGATTGCTAAATATCAACTTCAACTCCTATAAATAAAAGATCAACAAAGAAAAATACACCATCAACATCTCATCCAAAACACATCGTGTATGTCGTATCATAGTTTCTCACGCTACACTCAAGTAGGTGACATGGAAACAAATGTACAATCTGGTGAAAGCCTCATCAAAGTATATATCACATTACAAGAATGTCACATGTTGGACTAAGTCTACAAACAGTACTCGTCTGCGTCCAAGGGGACCTGAATATGTAGTGTGTAGTCATCTACAGTATCTTGCGGCTCACGAACTAATGCACTCGGAGTGCAGTCGCCCACTATATTATGCGGTGCACTAATATGCACTCTCAACCACCGAAAAAATGATGCATCATGGAGTGTAGTAACGATAAATCTCATGCGGTACACAGACTAACGCATTCAGAGTGTAGTCGTTCATGCTCTCATTGCGGTGTACGGACTAACGCACTCAACCATCCACATCTATCGTAAACCGAAACAATCGTCACTCCCTATCGTTGTAGGCGTATAAAACTGCTTATGGGTCCCTTAACACAGCTCGGCACGACGATTCTACAAACCAACGAACCATCGGGTGACATATCTAAACACGAGCGTTAATC